AGCTATATGTTGTAGTGAAAGGCCTCGACTCTTCAGGATTATATAAATAATTAACACAAAAATGTGGTCAGACTTTACAATAGAAAGTGATATAAAAATGATATAAAAATGAACTATCAAACTTAAACCTCAGGCTCACTCTGTGTCACGGAGGTATGCAATCTTCAAAGGATATTGACCGCAAGAGTCAGAACTAGGATTCTAGTCCAGCCTCTACCTCAAACTAGGTGCGTCACCTTGGGCAAACCACTTAATCTCTCCTTAACTCATTTTCCCCATCTGTAATGGAGACAATGACAATGACCTAATTCACAGGGGTGTTGGGAGACTCAATTAACATGTTAAAACATTATCCTTAAATGAAAGGTGTTACAGAAATGCAAAGTACTACTGTTTAATTAGGAGGAGGAGGAAAGAGATGACAAATCATGATGAAGGGAGACTACTGCCATAGTCATCAATGGGAACAACAAAAGCTCATTTGTGACATAATGGCAGAGCTGCATTCCAAGACTCTGAAGGTAACAGGACTTCCCTGAAACTTCACTAAAGAAGAGGATAAGGTCAGGTATCACCAAGACCTTTGGAATGCAGCTCTGCAATGATGTCAGACTCACAGGTGATCTTTAATGGCTTCAGATTACCAGTCTCTCTCTCTCTCATTTCCTCATGATTTCCCTTCCTTATAGCTGCAACACCAACAGACCTTTTAAAAGAATAAAATTCTACTTCATGCAAAGTCATCAGATCAGCTGTAACCCAGGTTTTCAGTATGCTTCATGATATTTTAACACAGAATTTCAGAAAGTGATTTCCCTTAAAGTCAGTACTGTTCAGTACAGTGGTAATCAAGTTTTTCCATATCAGGAACCACCCCAGGAAACCTCCTCCCATCTAGCTGAGACCCTCCGCTTCTATTTATCACTATGGAAAGGGTAGGTGGCTGCGATCTTCAGACACATTTGTTACCCCCAAGTTTAGAACCCCTGGTTTAGTGTGTATGTGTAGAATGTTATAGAAGATCCATCATCACCTGTACAGTAGTTTCCTTTAAACTTTTGGGATAAACTTTCTTAAACAGCAAGGGGGGAAAGAAAAAAAAAAAAAAAAAAAAAAAAAAAAAAAACCTCCACAGCAGTGGTCCAGATCCACCTCACTAGTGTTCCACTAATTCCCATGGACTTCAAAGGGAGTTTTAAGTGCCCAGGGTTTGCAACATTGTGTCCTAATCTGCGGTTTACTGGATAGAGCACTGAACTGGGACCAGGATACCTGGGTTCTATTCCTGGCTCTCCTACTGACCTGCTGGGTGACCCTTGGCAAATCACTTTACCTCTATACCTCAGTTTCCCATCTGTAAAATGGGAATAATGATACTGACCTCCTTTGTAAAGTGCTTTGAGACCTACTCACATAAAGCACTATTTAAGAGCTAGGTATTGCTACCTCTGGCCACATGAAAGACCTGCTAGAGTTTGCAAGGTACATGGAAACACACGCTACCTTGACTCATTTCAACATCACTGGTACGATGAAACCAAAACTAATCAAGAAGAAACTGAGTGTGTGACTCAACATCCCCCCTCAAAAATTGCAAGAATACCGAAGAACTCAACTCACTATACTCAGTCTGATTGTGCCTAGGCAGAACAGTATAAACACAAGGAAATAAAAAACAACAAATTTTTGTTTGAGTCCATCGCAGCAACGAGGCACAAGAAGTGCTAGGGATGGAGAGTTTTCTCTCTCGCTTAAAATGTCCTTGCATTGATGGAATTCATGTTCTTTAATTTCTGTGTGGTCAATTAGAAGTATATGAAGAATATTTTGGGATTCACATTTTAAATATACTCTACATATTTACCCAACTGTTTATTGTAGAAATACATATTTTCAAAACTTTAAAAGATGTGTATTAGTGACCAGATAGATTATTACACCTATTATAGGCTAAGTGCAAATATGGGATCTTCCTTCAAAGCCAAAGATTTTACATTATTCTTTCTAGGTAAAAAGAGGAATAATCTGAGCCAGAAACTAATTCCAGTCTGACATCAACTCTATGGCCTAAAGTAAATCGCAGCTTCTGACTCAGTTTCCCCTTCTATAATGGGAATACTTGATTCTCTCTTCATCGTATTGCAATAATTAATGTATATAAAAGTGCTTTGAAGATTTAAAGAACTACAAGCACTAATTATTACCTGGCTGGAGACACAAACTGGATTTTTGACCTATTAACTGGATTCATACACAAATATTTGTCACGCTATTATGTAGTGTGTACCAGAGGTCTAAAATACTAACATGTAGGTTCTCTTATAAAATAACTTAATGGAAAGTAGTTTTTGAAGTCAGTAGCGACACCATTTTTACTACCTCAGCTGTTTTATTGGATTGAATTAAAATATTTCATGTTCTGAATTAGCAACTTGCAAAATGTCATTTTGAAAAACAAATATCAAGTTAGAATACACCTGAAAAGCAGGGAAACTTTTTGCATTTTTGTATCTTAAAAAAAAAAAAAAAAAAACTCCAAAACTCATGTAAGCAAAATCTGTCTCTTAAGCTAAAATGTTTATGTCAAGTACAAAACAACAGCTAAATTTTACATCTGAGTTATCACTCAGCCCCTTCAAAACTAGGGGTCACTGCTGGAAATGATGAAAACCTTAGGGTGCTATTATACAGTGGTCAGTTTGCATTTACACTCTCTGTTTGGACAGACATTTCCTGGCCTTCCCACAAATGAAGATACTCAATTTCTCTCTGTCAGAGGATCCCTTCCCTTTTTTCCTGCTGCCAGAAAAATCAGAATCTATGTCTCTTTACTGGAGCTACTGTAACAAATGGGTGAATATAATAACAAGCCCCCCCCCCCCCTTTTTTTTTCCCTTTCAGTTCTACCTAGGGAAAACTAGTTTCCTGCAAAATAAGCAAAACCCTCAAAAAAATGCCTATTGCTTTTCAGCCTGCATCTTCTGTATCAGAGGGATTTCCATTTTCTGTGCACAAAAATTACAGGAAATCACAGTGACAGAAGAGTAACCTGGTATCTTTTGGCCTGATCCTGCAAGATACTGAGGATGATCAATGTCTTGCAGGATTGGGATCTTAATTGTCACATAGAAGGGAATCTCTCTTAAAAAAAACGAGGTAGCGTAACAAATAACTTCCCTACCTAAACACACATAGTAAAATTTGATTTAATCTTGGGTCCAAACTACAACATATTTTCCCAGTCCCCTCCAAACTTACACTGTTTTAAGAAAATCTAAACAAACACAAAGATTTTTTTTATTACTGTATATTCCTGTTGGTTTCTAAACATTAGGAATGCATGTATCTATAGATGTTTATACATGCACAAACCCTATTTATAGCTCTGAAAATAGGATTATCAATATGGAAGACATTAAAATAAATATTATAGTATGTGTGTCAGTTTAATACCAACACGCCTACTACATACCTAATTACACAGAGTTCAATAAGCATTTTCCAACCTGCTGTTACTGCCTGACAAGAATAAATGAAGAGTCCCTCTAAGGGCTATACAGTAAACATCTTAAGACATATTTGTTCCTAAACCAGACTTCACAGTAGTACTGATTGCTTGGGCACAAACTGCAGACTACCTTCCACGCGATACAGCATGTAAAATGTATCTGTGAGGGAGCGCACAATTTTGAAATGTTTATCATCCCAGGGAAATACATGCTTTACACAATGCACTGCGGGTGTATCACTGCTCCTGCATGTCATTCCGTTACAAGCAAGCAAAATCCTAAACCATTCTCTTGTTCTGTTGTGTCACCTATTAGGGAATTCTGCACACAATTATTCTCTGCACATAAAGAATCCTCTTTGGTTAAGAAGAGAAGGACGGCCTTCCCCTCCTGCTCCCACCATGAAATTACAGGTTTTCAATGACCCATCAAAAACAAAGCAGAGGTGATTTGCTTCTGTGTGGTTTTTCCAAAGAAACGGGCAAGTAAATGCAATTCCAAGTCCCACATTTCAAAGTGCATTTTATCTGTCCGACAGCAGCTGCACCTGTCACCCAGGGCATTTTGTGTTATTCATGAATTTGTCAGCGTTTCCCCCACATCAATCCATGGTTTTACACACTTTGTGTGCATTGTCAGGAGGACAACAGCTTTCTTTAATGATTGAACATTTATGCTATCACTAAACCAAAGGAAAGAGTAATTTTTAGTTTTTACAGATATGTGCAATTAAGATAGCATAGACGATAATAAGAGAGAATCAGCACAACGGGAGCTAATTACAACATATGGACCAGCTTTCACCTAGTGCTAAATTACTATAACTGAGCCATCATGAAACTGGGATTTAATTGTTTATCAGACTATTTGTCTTCTGATCTGTACTGGGAGAGATGAACCTCTTTGTGTCACTGCTTATACATGTCCTGCCTAGTAATGGATAGAGAGTTTTGTATAGAAGACAATTGTATTATAAGCATTTTCTGTTCCTATCCACTAGACAAGGCGGAGAGATTCCTGGTTTGCGTCCTACTAGAATCGATTCCCTCCCTTTGAAAAGCATGCCTCCTGTGTCCCCAAGCATCACCCATTTGCAATACAAAAGGCCCCTTGCTTCCAGGTGCTCTCAGAACCCATTCCTCTCCCTGCTGGGAGGGACGGTCACAAACCAGATCTCCGGGGAGTTTATCCTTTTGTACGTTGCCATCTAGCCCCAGAGCTGCATTTCCAGGAGCTGTGCTAACAGCATGCGGTGGATGCTGAGCGGATGGAAGGCAGAACAGCTGGAGAGAGGGAGGAGAGGGGTGGACAAACGAACAGAGACACGGAAAAGCAGCGGGGTGAATGGAAGGGGCGGAGGGCTAGGATGGGAACACGGAGGGAGAGAGAAATAGGAATGAGGGGGGAAGGACGGGCTGGAGCAGCAGAGGGATGCACGAGGGACTAAGGCAGCCGGGCGGCGAGCTGGGGGGCCGGGGCCCTGCCCCTTACCTGCCACCGTGTACCTGTCCAGGTAGTTGAGCACGTTGCCCACGCTGAGGATGCCGGCGGCCGCTACCCGGGCCCTGCCCAGGCTGGGCGGCTTGTGGCGGGGGGCCAGGCGCTCGGGGCTCTTGCCCGCGGGCGGGGGGCTCATGCTGCCCGACAGGGTCTGCACCTCGCCCTCGGCGCTCCGGCCGCAGCAGCCCCGCTCGCCCTCCTCCTCCTCCTCCTCGTCCCCCGCTCGGAGCCGCCCGCCGCAGCCCGGGCTGCCGGCCGCGGAGCCGCCGCTCTCCAGGCACATCATGGGCTGCGGGAGGCAGCCGGGCAGGGAGGAGCCCGCTCGCTCCGCAGCGCGGCCGGGCAGAGACGCCAGCGGTGCAGGCTCAGCGCCGCATCCCGCAGCCGGCTCAGCAGCAGCCTCCTGCCTGCGGGACCGGCCGCCGCCAGCCTCTGACAGCCGGGCGTGAGCGGGCGGCCCCGCAGCCCAGGCTCCGCCTCCGCCCGCCGCAGCGACTCCGCCTGACAGGAGCCCCGCGCGCACCTGGGCTCCCGGCGCCTCAGAGCGCCCCACGCGGGGACCCGCGTCCCCAGCGCCCCGCACCCTGCCCGGCTCCCCCGAG